TGGCTAATAATTAATAAGTAATAATTATTAATTACTAATTGGTAATACTCCGATCAATAATTTAAGTTATAAGTTATGATGATCAGAACTCAACAGTATACAAGGTATTGTCAGTTAAACAGGAAAAAATAACTAAATAACTATAATGTAATATGTACAAAATACAGTTACCTGCGTGGCTACATATAGAGTACAGCCAGTACAGGCACAAACACATCATTTAAATTTTAAATATTTCAGTCAGTTGGGAGGTGCTGTTGAGTGCCTGCCCACAAATGTTAAATTCTGTTACTTWATATTATATTAACTATCAAATTTTCTCATTGTACATAATGTTGTATAGATTATAAATTACTTAAATAAATAAAAAAAAAACTAAAAAATATTTCAGTCAAACAGAAAAAACAATAAAAATTAATATATTTTCAAAGGTTTGTAGGTGTTATTTATAATTCTATAATCTACTTATGTTACTACTAATTTGGCAATTTTTTTTTTTTGTTTTATTAATTTTTTTTGTCTCTTGGTTTTTCAGCCAGTTTTTACTGCCTCACTCTCATTGTAATGTACATTACACATACAGGGTGTTCCAAATTTCATGTGACAGCAGATTTCAGCATGATATATTTAAATTTCGGAAAAATTACCTATGTGAAAACCTTTTTGAATCATATAATCTATACTAATTTGATTTTAATTATATTTTTTATTAATTAGGGTGGGTAGTTTCGAAGGGTAACTTTTAAAATTCAAATGGCAACCTATATTTTTAAAATATGATTCGTGTTCAGATTAATTTTTAATGAATTTTGACGAGTCGTTTACATTAATGTGTTAATAATTGAAGGAGCTATGAACATCTGAATATTGGCGTTAATTATAAAATGTCAACAGTAAATAATATTAAAAGTGTATGACCTTAATAATCTGTATCGAATTATAAATTTATTAAAGTATACAGTAGTTAGTACGAAACGTATAATGGTATATCCGTATATCGTTTGATATTATAACCAATTACTGATTATTTTTATTAATGATGTAATTGCATTTCTTATCTGAGAAACGAAGAGTTTAGAATTTTAGATTATAATCCACGGACCAAGACCGTGATAATAGTGTTTTGTAATATCAAATTATTTTATCTATAGATAATATTATAATATTTTATAACCTTAAAATTATTTAATGTTTTCTAAATACTAAAATATTAGCTATTGCCCATTATCCGTTATTCGTCAACGAATTAATTTGATGAATTAAAATACCACTGAAAAACTTGTAGTTATTAAATAAATAAAAGAAAAAAAAATTCTAACATGTGGTTGTTTGTTGATAATCTGATAATTGATAACACTTGTCACTTTTAACTTTATAATTTTTATATGACAGTAAAAAACTTAAAAATTAAATAAAAATACATATCTGTCATCAGACAGTCTAATTATTTCATTATTTCAATCAAGTTGATAATTTTAAGTTATTATAGTTAGTGCGTTTGAATTATTATCAACTGGTTGTTCTTGTTATCGTCAAGAAATATTTGAATTTGTTTTAAACTGACTAAGGTACTGTATATCTCTTGTTGGGATCATAAAAAAATTATATTTTTATTCATCACCATCATTATTTAAAATTTGAGAATATGTATAGTTTAATTATCTATCAATTTTTAAATACCTTCAATTTAATATATAATTATGTTAGTATAATTATGTATTAACGCAAGACAGATTATATCTACTTATTATTGTATTTTGGTTTTTTCCCAAAGTGAAAAATTTCTTTTATTCATGGCCTGTAATTCTTAGGTTGATACCTACTATAAATCTCTTGTGTTCTGGCCAAAAAAGGTGCTAAATAATAAAATATGACACTGAATACAATAATCATGTTTAATTATTATACTGATAATTTATATGTCATCATAGAATGCTTAATCCAGTTTCATATTCTGAGTGGTAATGTTAATACATTTATTGATAATCTATAGTCTATAGTCCTATACGTTATATTTGTAGTAGTCTTTAATAGAGGGCATTAATTAGGCACAAATTACAATTAATTATTGTGGCAGCGGCATAACACAATCATTTATTAAAAATAATAATATTCACAAAAAAAATTAAATTAATAATACACTGCCACCAGTATCCTGCCACTATCAGGATCACCTGGTGCAGAAAATACAACTTATAAAAAAAAAGTCCAACGACACTCGCACTAAAGAGTAGGTACAATAATTCGGGATAGATAACGGGTTACAGYCTAGTGCCGACTACGCCGGACGACGGAGTACTAACTAACTGGTCACCTACCGTATATAAGCACACCGATAACAGTCGTTCGGGTATCCCGCTACATATTATATTACAATATACAATTTTATACCACTATTAAGATAATAACACGATAAGATATTGATTTAACCCTAATATTTATTGGAGATTTTGAAGACTAACAATTCTTTAAATTTCAACTTTGTAACGTCACAGAATTTTAGGCCTCTATTAATATTCTTATACATTGAACACACCTTTCCCACAATAATTATATTATCATATTATAGGTCCGTGACCATTACTTTAATGKTTTTCCTAATGGTACAATAGCGCGTTGCGATTTACGAACAATAGTCATGTTAGATAAGCACTGTCCCCCAACCCCTCTTCAACGTAATGTCCGGCGACTTGGCTCGGCAGCTGTGGTTACCTGCGCTGTCGGCGATACGGTCACGTCTAGAGATGGTTAACAGTGACAAAATTTGGTCACCGCGACAATGGTGACAGCTACTATAAAGTCACTGTGACTTTTAATGGTGACTGGTCACCAATTCACCATTTGTTTTGCGTAATATATATTTAAGTTACTCAGTGACCAATAACCATCATAGTTAGAGTAAAATCACATCGCTGTTTAGTTTGTCACCGCGACAACAGCCTGTTTCACACTACACTACAGTGACTACACCRTGTCGTACTGTCGTGCGACTTCGTATTTTTTATGTATATACCAAAGTCCAAAATGCAATACCAATGATATGAATATGATAACATAATATAATATCATGGTTATCCTCATCACGTTTTGGGGCAGTACAAGTGCTTCGATTTTTGACTTCA